TGAGAAGAAATTTAGTCTGGTGAGCTTTTCGACCGTGCTTGTTTTTGATACTTTAATCATTTAATTTTGACATCGTCGCGCTTTCACCATCATGTACAGGCGGCAAATTCCTCATTTTTTCCTGTTTCAAGATTATCCACATAATTCCAAACGGATATTTTCCACCTTATTTGCGGTCTCCCGTTTGCGCATTACTAATGCTGGATATTCTGTTACCAAAAAATCACTCTGCTTATCTCGTAATAAAATTTGAAGTCACGTAAATTGCTGTACTGTAAATCATTAACTGCTTGTGAATGAAATAGTCGCGGTTTTTGTTTTGGAAGCAGTGGGGGGGAGGGGGGTCTTGTGGGTATCGAAGATATTTCTGTTTCTAATTTCGACATAGTCCAGATTTTCGTCATTTAGACTGGGGAGCAATACCAAGCAGAGAAAAAGGAGCTGCTTGAAACCGCGAACAAGAAAGAAATCAGAAGACGGTCCGAACAAATTGCGTATGTTTATGAGAGATTTTTGTAAAATGTAAACTGCACATCAGCAGCATTTTTTTCTTAAGAGCATGAAATGGTATAATTCAACAAATGATTCTTACACTAGCATTAGCGACATTTCTTTAGATTTAATAGTTTGGGCGGTTCCTTCATCCTGAATTTTTAATTCTTTTTTCTTTTGTGATTTTTTGTGTGTCCAGTTTTCCTTGGATACGTTATCATATTGTGGAAGTGTTAGCGTACGAAGCACTGTCGAAAGACAACGGAGTTAAACCCTATCACCACTGAACACATCCATCAGATACTGTAAAATTTTGGAGGCTTTGAAATTTTTGGCCTTTCTGCTTTGTTTTTATATTGTTGTGGTCTTTTTTTATAGGCGCAATGGCACTCTTTTGTTGGATAGTGACGCATTGTGGCTGGTGAAGTATTTGGTTCCCAGTGAAAATGCACAGACTTTCGAAAGATACCTTAACCATGTAAGGAGCTTACTCACTTGAACGCATCATTCTTTGAGATTTCATCACAACTATTCCTTGATTGCCGTTGCTGAATCTGCATTATCTGGTGGTCAATCTGCCAGTGATTGCTTTGTTCGCTTTTTACGACCTGTCGTTTTTTTATACGTTTTTGCATTGCTACTGCTGTGCAACAGTGCATTATGCGATATTTTCTCTCTGTGTTATTTTTTATGCATGTGATTGCTTTAAATTAAAGCTACCTGCATTTTTAAACAATGGCGCAGATTTACTGATGAAATACACTTATCTCAGATTATTCGCGGTATACACGGGGAACCAGCAGTTGGCCTGAGAACGAAGGCGATGCGTTGTCTCACGATGATCATCGAAACGGATCATTCGGTTTTGAAGATTGTGAGTTGTTTTTTTTTTTACTTTCTGTAAGGGAAAAATTCCTTTCCTGCTCTGCATCTGTTACTGGTAATACACTGGATTACAAGGCTTTTGTGGATTGGATGGTGGCCTTGTTTTTGCAAACCAGAGTGGGGAGCTTGTTTTCAAGATTTCCCGGGCGCTCAGTTTGCTGAAACGTGGCAACCTTTCGTCAAGTGCTGCTGTAGACCCATCTGAACTGCGACGTTTTTCACTTCTTTGCAGCTATTTCCGCTTTCTTCTACGTTAAACTCTGCTTTTTAATATTATATGGTGTGTTTGTTTTTTTTTTTTACTAAGAGCTGAGACAAGGTGACATTTTTCTCCGGAACAGTCGACGACTGCAAATAAATTTAGCAGCATTTGGTGACTAGCTTAAACATGACACTCATATATAGTTCGTAGCAGCAGTTTTTTTTATTATGCCATCGACATTTCTTTGTGTTAATTTGGTGTTGAGAAAATCAATTGTCGTCGTTCAAATTACTTCTGTAAGAGCATGAAAATTTTTATGAAAAAAGCTGATGCTTAAAGCCAGATTTTTTTTAGCCATTTCACAAAAAAGCGTAGAAAAAGTGCTAGTTCTCTTAAAAGTGTACGAAGTTCCAATATAGTTAGTTCATGTAGCTCATGTATGTCTAATGTAGTTCATACATGTCTAATGTTTGAAGTAATTATCGAAATTTGAGAAAACTATCGTGGGGCATTGCAGTAGTTATTCTAATTTATTAGGAAGGAAGACAGTGCGGCTTTGTTACTCCTTTGAATGAACTGGTTTTGAGCTTTTTTGACATTTATCCGCTGATCCCTGTTACTTAGATAATCCCTGTCGGTTTGATACGCGTCTCAAACAGGAATTACCAAGACTGTTTGCATGGAGCCGTCGATAAAAAGCGATTCCAACGTTGTTATGTCAGCCTGCTTTTCCCTAGTTACTTAGAGCATAATTTATGCATATTTGTAGCATGAAGTACGCCAAGCAGTACAGGCGCGAATGTTGGACCCGAATGCGGCAGTTCGTGAAGCAACCATTGAGCTTATTGGGAAATATTTGATTGCAAAGCCAGATTACGTGCCTCAGTACTATCCGATATTAATTCAACGCATAATGGTTATTTAATAGACAGTTTTATTCATTCACACCTGTAACATTATTTCTGAAAAGCATCGAAATTCCGTCCATTGGATGGTGCAGTTCTTGTCCCATCGAGCTGTAGCAAGCTGAAGGCATGGTATGCAAGTATTCTCTGCTTCAATACAGCTAATTAAAGCTAGATATACTTACGCATTCCTGTAGGTGCGTACATGGACATGAAATTCCTAATGTTAATAGTCTAGGCCAGGAAAATATGACATACAGATGCCTTAATTTTTGCGATTTTCAAATACTTGCTTAGCTAATTTTTACCAGTTTGTTGAGTCATCCAGGCTTACAGCGAAAAAACGCATAAATTTTTTAAGGTTATACCAGTTGTTATTGCTAAAGCCGTTCTCTTTTCGAAGTAAATACTTCTCTTTTATTTCCTTGTCCACCGTGTTAGAATACTTTTATCAATGTTTTTTGGCTGCTGACCACTGGTAAACCATATTCAGGATAGTGGAGTGGCAGTTCGCAAACGTGTGATCCGAATAATGCGTGAGATTTGCGAACAAATTCCGAGCTACGAAAAGGTCCCGGAAATTTTGGTAGCAGTGATTGGCCGAATTAGTGATGAAGAAGGCGTGAGGAAGCTTGCTGTTGAAACGCTACAAATATTGCTGTTTCAACCAGTTCGTGAACGTGATTGCGCGCAGCTGGTCAATAAGGTAACTTTTGGTTACTTCGAACGCAAACAAAAGAAAGAAATTTCGAAAAGACTTGTTGAGCTAAAAAGAGCTGAAAGTGGATTGTTCAGACACATCTCGAAATTTGTTGTGAGAAGGGAATAAACTAGTGACGAGGGGAAGTATTTGCGAAGGATGGGTTGGGATGAAATTCGAATAGGTGACAATTTTGGTTTGGTTTGAGAGTGAGGAATATAGCCTGTAGCATGGGGCATATATTCCTCACTCTCGCCTGTGGTCTGCCCTGAAATGAATTAAACAGGTAAACCTCGGTGCAGCGCTGAGCAAGCAGTGAGATTTTTTTTATTTTCATAACTTTTTGCTTGTTTAGTGTTTATTCACATAAGGCTTTTTCACTGATTTTATGAGCTTTTGCTATATTTTTTTCTGGGCTATTTTAATACGAAGCAAGCTATTTGT